TTTACTGTTCACCTTTTTTCTGTGGGCACCTTTTTACTTTTTTTGTTTAAAATTGTTACTTTTGGGCCCCCATTGGTTTCGTGTCACCTTGTTACTGGGGTCCCCCTTTTTTACTGGTCCCCTTGTTTCTGTGTCCCCCCTCCGGAACTTTCCTGTCTATCTCTGGGTAACAGGTGGGGTTTCAAAAATTTAATTCCAGTATAAATCTTATAAATAGTAAAAATTTTTTTCTATTTTTCCTAGTAAGAAAAAGGATTTTTTCCTTTAAAACTAATAACAATAATAATTTATTTTTTTCCCATTTAAAAAAAAAGGGGAAAATTTCTCCCAAGTTTTATTTTCTTTTCCCAGGGTAAACAGGATAAATATTGGGGGGGAATGAGGAGAGGAAATATTGGGGGGTTTTGAAACCAAAAGTAACCCCCGAAAAAACCAATCATTGTGGCTTATCCCTCTTGGGTTATTTAATCTTCTTCCTCAGGATGTGACTCATAAGTTGGATAATTAATTTTGGCGGAAAATTCAAAGATTTAAATTTTTGCGGGCATTGTGAATGCTGTTTTTTTTTTCCCCCAGAATGAACAACTATGAAGTCTTGGTTGGAATCAAAGCATTTTCTTTTCCCAGGATGAACAAATATGTAACCACCTTTTTGGCGGGAATTAGTCTGTTTTCCCAGGATGAACAATTTTCAGTGGGAATTGAGTCCTTTTCTTTTTCTAGAATGAACAACTATATAAAAAAAATTTGGCGGGTACTTATAATCATTTTCATTTCCCAGGATGAACAACCGTGAAGACACAAGCAATGGCGGGAAAAGTGAGAAAAACGACGCTTCTGGCGGGAAATACGAAGACAATAATCTAGGGAAGAAGTGTGGGTGGGAGAGTGGACCGGAGGCCGCCCATCACGCCCACTTCTTGCGGGCGGTCCTGGACCTGCTGGTGGAGAAGGCTGTGTTCCAGGGCACTGACAGGTCATCCAAGGTGACCTGCGCTTGTTATTACCCGATCAATAATGTCCTCCTGTCTGAACACTTGTCCTCCTGTCTGAACACTTGTTCTCCTGTCTGAACACTTGTCCTCCTGTCTGAACACTTGTTCTCCTGTCTGAACACTTGTTCTCCTGTCTGAACACTTGTCCTCCTGTCTGAACACTTGTCCTCCTGTCTGAACACTTGTTCTCCTGTCTGAACACTTGTCCTCCTGTCTGAACACTTGTTTCTCCTGTCTGAACACTTGTCCTCCTGTCTGAACACTTGTCCTCCTGTCTGAACACTTGTCCTCCTGTCTGAACACTTGTTCTCCTGTCTGAACACTTGTCCTCCTGTCTGAACACTTGTTCTCCTGTCTGAACACTTGTTCTCCTGTCTGAACACTTGTCCTCCTGTCTGAACACTTGTCCTCCTGTCTGAACACTTGTCCTCCTGTCAGAACACTTGTTCTCCTGTCAGAACACTTGTTCTCCTGTCTGAACACTTGTTCTCCTGTCTGAACACTTGTTCTCCTGTCTGAACACTTGTTCTCCTGTCTGAACACTTGTTCTCCTGTCTGAACACTTGTTCTCCTGTCTGAACACATGCTCTGTCTAAACACATGTTCTGTCTAAACACATGCTGTCTAAACACATGTTCTGTCTAAACACATGCTGTCTAATCACATGTTCTGTCTAAACACATGTTCTGTCTAAACACATGCTGTCTAAACACATGCTCTGTCTAAACACATGTTCTGTCTAAACACATGTTCTGTCTAAACACATGCTGTCTAAACACATGCTCTGTCTAAACACATGCTGTCTAAACACATGCTGTCTAAACACATGCTCTGTCTAAACACATGTTCTGTCTAAACACATGCTGTCTAAACACATGCTGTCTAAACACATGCTCTGTCTAAACACATGTATTCATATAATTGTGGTTGCAGGGGTTGAGACATAGCTCTTGGCCCCGCCTCTTCACTGACCGCTACTAGGTCCTCTCACTGCTCCATGAACTTTATCATACCTCTTCTTAAAGCTAAATTTTGGATCCTTCCTGGTGTATCACGCCCAGGGGACACTAAAGGATTGTCCGCCTCCCCCGGACGGGGTGGAGTGGGGTTTAAAACCAAAAAGAGCTGCACAGCGCCCCCAGCTGGACCTAGGTGATGAAAAAGGGGTGACCCAAGGTGACCTCCGCGCACCTGGACCAGGGGGTCAGGTTTCAGCCCCAAGACAGGTCCCCATACTTTTTCAACCAGCTTTTTCTCCGGTGATCCCTTTCTTTGGGGGACCCCTTTTGCAAAATAAAATCCCCCAAGGGTTTAGACATGATTTCAAAGTAAAAAAAACTTCAAGAACCCCGTTTTTTGCCTCAGGGAAGCTATGAATTTAAGAGTCCATACACAATTTTAAAAGAATTTTGGTTTAAAACCCTTTGTAAATGAGGGCCCAAGGGTTTTAAATCACCTATATGTGGTTTGGAGGGGTCAGCCACGGCTCCGGCTCCTGACATTCC